AATATATCACGTGAAAAAGCGTTAAACTTTGCTTATAAGTACATATTTGCACACAAAAGAAAGTAACCACCTTAAAACAATTTGTTTGTTGCTGTTATTCTATTTTATATATTTTTGTTCTTTTTTATTTAAAAAAGTTTTTTTTTTTTAGTTTAGTTTTGAACATATTGTTTTATATGCAAATAAAAGCTGAATTTTTTTTTTTTTTTTATAATTTTTTTTTTATATTTTTGTAACCATGACGTTACTGTTTTTAATCATTTTATAAATGCTGGAGATTCATGTTATCAATATCGCTCATGGTTTTCAATATAGAAAAATTTTGTTTTTAATGATTATACCTATATTTGTTTAACAGAATGTATTTATCAAATGTTTATTTAAATTTTTTTCTGTAACTTTAATTTATAATTAAAAAAAAAATCTTTTTAGTTTGCATTTTTACTTACTAAGTTCTAAGTACTAAGTTCTAGGTACTAAGTTCTAGGTAGCTTTAATTAGGTACTAGAGTAAGTTTACTATTTTGTTACTTCTGTTAAAGCTGACAGATCAGGGTTAGAATTAGATTTCTATGCGACCATGGGAAAAGGGTTAGCTATATATGAAACGGCCATCTTTGATCTTGAATATTCCATCTTTGATCTTAAATATTCCTTTTAATCAATCATAATATCTTCTAATTTAGTATATAAATGTGTCTATATATGTGTTAGTTGAATTGACCTAAATACGCTTACTTCATTACACTAACACTCTCACTGCCGTCTTACTACTTCGATGGAATTAACCGATTTCTATATTTTTGAGATAAAAATAATTAGAAATAATTAAAATAAAGATCAAAGCCAATGAATAAAATAAAAGATCGAAGCCAATGAATAAATAAATTCTATGCGGGTTTGATTTTTTAGCGTTATTTTTTGAAATAATTTTACAAAATAAACCGACATTTAGCCTGCATTTTTGCTTCGCAAACTTTTTTTAGCTTACATTTTATTATCTGTAAAACACTAACTTTTGGTAAAAACAAATTTATTTTATGTAAGTAAGAATGTCTCATGTGATAGTAAATAAATTTCTCGTTTTATACGATGAGCAATCTAAACATCTGAAAGAAAAATTTTTTTTTTCAAAGTGAAGGTATTGACTATGCCATTTCACAATTACATACTTGGCTTTGTAAAAAAAGGATTTAATAGATCAATATTTAGAGAGAATAAAATTTGTTCACGATTGGATGTTGGTGAACTTAGTTTGAGTGCGATGAACCATGAGCTAATAGATCACGACAGTTAATATCGGAAATTTATACCATATAATAATTTATTACAAAAACAGAAAATTTTATCAGTACTCAATGTAGTTAATGTACTTTTTTATGAAATTGCTGTCAGTTGGTTATTAGTTTAAACAATTAAGATATTTTCGTAAAGTATTTGGTTTGCAAGATAAATAATTAGATTGTTTAAAGGGAAAACACTAAAGATCTTGCTGCGGACTACAAGCAATCTTTTAAAAAAAAAATTTAAATGTAACATGTCTATCAATACTTGTTTTATAACTTAATATAGTATAATTGCGGTATATTATGGAATTCTAATTTTAGTTCAAATTTCCAGACTAGAGAAATCTCAAGTTCTTTTCACTGAGAACTTTTCTCGGTGCTGGAATTTAACTATTGCAAAGACGTTTAATAAAATCTATTGCAATAGAATATTCATTAAGGAAATAGAAAAAAAAAACAGCTACAATTACCAACATTTAATTTTTTTTTTCGTTTACTTTTACTTATTAACCCCTTAACTGTGGCGTAAATTTAAACATCGCGTTGTTATTTACGGCAAAATATTTTTGTTAATGATCGCTTTAAGTTGTCAAATTTACTTTCGTTTAGTACGCTAAATTTGTATAATAAAAAAAAAAAAAAAAAATTGCATTTCTAATTTTTTGATAACAATATTAATGAAGAACTAAAATTTTTACAAATTTTAATAAAAAGATAAAACTCAGATTTGTAAAACACTAAGAATATAATAACAAAATATTAATTATTTACAAAAACCTTTAAAGTTTTCTTTTGTATGGTAATACTTAAAACAAGGCACAACACATAAACCAACATTACAGTCTACACACATATATCGGGTATCTGATCTAACTTTGTTTTCAGAACAGACAACACACCTTCTACATGGTTTTATATTTTTTTCTGTTGCTGGTATAGCATCGACAAAATGACGTTCTACTAATCTTAAAGGAGATGGTAATACTCGAGTTCGACTTCTTTTTTTCTCAACTGATTCATGGTACTTGACAATACTCTCTTTAATAATGGACTTTCTAAACTGCAAGGATGTCATATTAGGTGATATTTTATTGTTTATAATATTTGCATTGAATGCACTAACACTAATCAAATGCATGAAAATCTTTTTGTACCATTTTTTCACCCTTTTTCTTTCGGATTCGTATGTTGTTAACATTTGATCAGATCGGTCAACACCACCCATGTTTTTGTTATACTCATGTATCACAAGAGGAATATTTTTTTCTTTACCAGCTCTATTAACAACGACTGTATCATTTTGAACACAGGTACTCAGCATGTGTACATCTTTTTTGTCTTTCCATTTGGTACACATTATATTTGTTTTAGTATCAAAACGAACTAAAGTATCGCCAGTTTTAATCTTAGCATTTTTTATATCTTGTGGTAACTGTTTTCGGTTAATACGTAATGTGCCAATGCAATCAGTATTATGATCCAGTAATACCTTGCAAATTTCATAAGATGTATACCAGTTGTCAACATGTAAACAATAGCCATTACCAATTAAATTATCCATTAGCATAATAACAATTTTAGTAGCTTGATACTTGTATTTGTGCATGTCAAGAGCAAAACCGTCAGTCATTTCCTTACCAGTGTACAAGAAACAATTCCAAATATACCCAGTAGCTGATTCACATAATGCAAAAGACTTCATTCCAAATCTGGAACGTTTGCTTGGAATGTATTGCTTCCAGCTTAGGTGACCTTTCCAAAGCAGCAACGATTCGTCGATCGATATATTTTTATTTGGTATGTACAGAGTTTTGAATTTGTTTACTAGGTAGTCGTAGATGGGTTCAATTTTTGCTTTTTTACAGGAATGTATTGGTAAACTACTGTTATCAACAAAATGAAGAAACTTCTCAATAAGACAAAACTTATCAAAAGATAACACTTTTCTTATTAAAGGTGTGTCAAACAGAGGATTTGTTGAAAAATACATTGCATTTGTTGGTTTCCATAGGATTCCACGATATAAAATGAATGCTATATAGAGTCTGATGTCAGCTCTGACTAAAGGTGTCCATTTTTGAACTCGAGATCTACCTTTAATTACATTATTTTTTAGATATTGTACTGCGAAAAGGTTACTTTGCTCGACAATAAGATCAACAAGGTCGTCTGTTACAAATGCTTCAAATATAGTAAGAGGACTGCTATTAACTAGAAAACTTGGATCAGGTCCTGGATTACCTTCAAATTTAGCAGAACTTGCTTTATAACCATCTATTTTTATCCAATTTGGTTCATCGTTTGTATTTTTTTGATTTAATTGCATAACATCAATGTCAACAAGGCTAGTTTCACTATCATTATCTGCTGATGTACACATAATTTCTTCTTCTGTAACAGATATAATTGAACCTTCATTAGAAGAAACACTATTAGAACTGAGATCAGATAATTCATCATTTTCTCCTGTATATTCAACTAGATCTTGAACAGAATATTTACTTCTTTTAGGATAAGATTTTCTTGACGCAGCCATGCTTACTTTTTCACTAAACTAAAGCATTGTTATATCAAGCTAATAGCTATACTTTGAAAAACTCTAGAGTACAAAATGAAGACCATACTTTTGTTAAAAGCTATAACATAATAGGAATAAACAAAGAACCATTTAACATATCATATCTGATCTGTTGTTTAACTCATATAAAAAACGGATATATCCGTCAGTCACAAACGGTGCAACAGTTCCAAAATGCGGAAATATCCGTCAGACACACATAGAGCTACACCAATGAAAGACGGATATATCCGTCAGACACACTTAAGGGGTTAAGAGGAGAACATTATAAGTTTGAGTGAAAAAAACAACGTTTTTAAAAAAGTTTATTTGTTTAAACACTTTTTTAAAGTTCTTTTAATCTATAATCATGTCTAAATTAAGGATGTTTGTTAATTTTATTTTTAAAACAATTCGAAGACTGAGCGAAGTCCTGAAGATGTTCAAAAAGAGACTTTTTAAAAGTCTTTAGTTCTGTGTAAACAAAAAAAAAAATAAAGAAGTTTTATTTAAAACGCAAGGAGAAGTACTTGTGTTAATCAAAAATAAACTTTTATTTATTTCATTCAAAAAAGGTTATAGATTATCAAAGATGAGGTTTTTATAAAATCTTTGGTTTTATTAACTTGTCTCAACTACGTTGAGTCGATAGAAAATACTAGAGATATTTCCAATACGGTTCTTCACGGTTTGAAATTTTTCTTTTATAATGTAGGGAAAGTGGGGGCATAGCCGCATATGGAGGCACAACCGTTTTTTAACATTTCCGTTTGAAAAATAATATCTAATATGACAAAAAACATACCACGCGTTAAAAAGAGTGCCTGTTTCGTTTCTGAGAAGTTGTGCATAATGTTCATTTTGATAAAAATATTATATTTACATCATATTTTTCCAGACCTTTTTTTTGAGGATTAAGCAATATTTGATTTTAACGTTAGAGATCAGCATGATTTCATATAGTGAAAAACATTTTTTATATCAACATAACCTAACAAGTAAGTTATGAAACTATTCTTTCTAAAAACTGTCCTCTGGGGCAGAACCCCATAGGCGCACAGAAGGCACTACCGCATACTTTTAATATTTATTAAAGTTAAGTAATAACAATAATTACAATTGTCACACATGAATGCGTTCATGTAAAAACTTGAATAGAAATAGTTTTCGTATTTTTTTAAATTATTTTTTATAAATAAGTTTTTGAATAAAATATAAAGCTAAGAGTATATCGAATGAGAAAACTGTAAGTATAAAGTACTGTAAGTCGAAAAAAAGTCTACACAGTTACAAACGTGCAACAAAATCAGCAAGTAATCTGAGCTGTGACAATTGTAAAGAAAATGTACAAAAAATTTTTTACCCCAACGACAACTGTTTTTTTCACAAAGTGCAATTGTTGCGTAATAATATTTTTAAAAACCATTTAATTTTTTTCTTAATTACATAAATTTTAATGATTTATTGTTATTGTGGTTATTGAGATAAACTGTTTAAAAAAAAACACATTTCGTTTTTATTTTCATATAACAATAATCCAAACGTTACGGGGGCGGTTATACCCCCACTTCCCCATTGCTGAAAACTTT